ATCGCTCTCTGTGCCACTTGTATCTTATTAATTACTTTTCTGGTAAGTGTCAATGTTTCTGCTCCATATGTCAGAACTGGAAGTACACACTGATCAAAAACTTTTCTCTTCAAGCACATGGGAATAGCTGATTTAAAGACTTCCCTCAGAAGAGGGAAGTCTTTAAATATGTAAAATACCAGAGTGGAAATAAGTCTCTCCTTGTTTTGTCATAGTAATGTGGCGATCACTCCATCATCCGTTTGGGTAAGTCATGGCTGCTATTGCTGTTGTTTTTGATTAGTAACCATGATTGTAGTTTTGTTATAGTTAACCATGACTACTTTCTACATCGAGTTTCTTTAATGATCCTTGATATTCTTCCTTTTCCAAAATACATTGGTCAGATAGGCATATGTTCATTCGAATATATGCTAAGTTATCTATAAGAGATATTTCCCTTTAAATCACTACGGATCATTTATTGTATAAAGTAAGAGGTCATACGTTGTCGCATTATGCATAGCGCTCTCTTGGTCGTCGAGTGACTCTTCGAAGTCTAACTGAGCTATATAAACTATTGCATCCTACTATAGTTCGGGTTTAAGGAAACTGTTGTTGGCGATCAATAACCACGATTTTGGTTTTGTTTAGATGTTGGTAGATATTTTCTGCAGTAAAGACTAGAAGTGTACTATTGTCGACAACTTAGATATTTTGACACCATCTAGGTTTACTCCTTCCTCCCAACCATCCAAGACTCTGCGGAGTATGAACTCTGAATTAATGTAAAATAATAAGGGAGACAAAACGCATCCTTGGTGTACTACCTTCTCCAAAATGCATTCGTCAGATAGGCATCCGTCCATTTGAATCTATTCCAGGTTATTTTTAAGAGATTTTCCCCCCAAATCACTACAGATCATTCACTGCATAAAGTAAGAGGTCTTAAGTTGTTGCACTATGCATAACGTTCTCTTGGTGGTCAAATAACTTTTACAGGTCTAACTGAGCTATATGAACAATACCTCGATTTATCTGTAAACAATATATGCCCATTGTTAATAAAATTCCAGTTAAAGTGCTCTCTGGAAAATTGCAGTCGACCTATAGGATCATTTGCGGTTATAGCTGTTGATTAGGCTAATTTCGTTATTAAATGCAAATCTGGTTCAGCTAGATGCCTTTCTGTAGTTTTGACAAATTCCATAGGATGTTGCAAAATAAGATGAAAAAAACTCAAATCCAATTTTACACACCGTAGATTGGGCAAAACATTAAAATTAAATAAAAACGTTTGTACAGTAATTCCTTAGAAATATAACTAGAAAGAAAAATCAAAATTATGGAAATTCAATCAACCGTTCAAAAGAAAACTAGCTTCAAACTTATGTTACATTTAAAGAGGAGCGTTAATTTTTTAGAGTAGCGTATATATTGGTATCACATAAATTACTCTGCTTTTTCTCAAAAACCATTTTAAAACATAAACATATTTATTACGGTTATATAATTCCGCTCTTATTGTTTTATTACAAGATTTTTTTTTCATTTTTGCTGAAAACTTTTCATAAAAATTCAGAAAACCTTAGGTTTGCAAAAATACACGTAACATCCTTCGTTAGTTTTTTTTTGCAACAGGGCTGTTGCGTGAGTAGGCAATCCGAAATATAATATAATGTTCTCATAATTCAGGGGTCTACCTATACCCGCAAATCTCAAATAACCTTTCCTTATTCCCTGGATTCGTTTATTCGTCAATACAATCCTTTTCATGCCAGATTAAATAAAAGGTAAAACGTGCAGAAGCTTAATGTAGTAAAAGCCTTGGGATATTTGTAGAAAATTATAAAACTAATAAAAATGCATTTTCACGGATACATAAAGTATTATTTGATTAATAAAAATACTCCTTTAATATACTTTTTTAGCTTAACAAAAAATGCAACATCGATAACAAAAGTTCTAGCAGTTAGGTTGGGAGAGATAGAAAAATTAAATTTTTATACGAAAAGTGCCTTCATATTTATGGCATATAGTTTTTTTTAGCACGTTCGTGAAATGACTAAATCTTGCAATAAAAACAAATATCCTTTAACTACATATTCGTATATACGAAATAAACAGAGCTTTAGGCCTTCTTCAAGCTGCCGAGCTGCAAACTAACGTAGCTGAGCACAAGAAAATCTATCAAAGTGTTTCAAATGAAGACTAAATGAAGATTTCGTGATAGTGGGAGTCTAACTAAGCAACATATAGAACAAAAATGGTTACAGTTGCAGCTTAATTCTTGCAGCCGATAAGTGAGTTTTGTAAAAATTAGAGTTAGATTTCAATAAGTGCAAATTTTAGATATAACTGCAAAAGAAAAGTGACGACGTAAGTGATTATATTCATTGGAAATAATATGTCTAATATTATGTAAGTTTGTTTCTATTTTTCCATAAAATATTATTTGCACTATTACGGTCCGAAAATACCTTTCATTGTTGACAATATTTTGCTCTCTCTTATTTGAGACATTTTTTTCACTCCAGAATAATAGAAAATTAGCTAAAATCTGGGTCTTTAAAAATTATATATAGCAAAGTCACCTTAGCGTCTGAATCAACTGATTCAGTGACAACTAGCAGAGATAGAGAAGATGAAAATGTCCACGACATCCATTTGAGTCCAGCTCATCCAAGATGTTCTTTCTTAATACGTGGAAAAAAGGTTCCTTACCAAAAAGAAATTCGGGAAAAAATAGTAAGGTATGATCCTAGTTATCTCACGTTATATGGCTTTATTCAAGTGTGCAACGAACAGGCACCAGACAACCAATATGTTAATTGTCACAAAATTGTTGCTAATGGGTGCTTGGTTTCATCTAAATTAAAATAATTTGAAAAGTAGTTATCCTGGTTTCACCGACAAGGTCGAAGGAATCTTCAAACGTCGTGCTTCGTTTCTTAAGGCAGGGTCATTTATGATGGAAAGAGTCTGGAAAAATGAAAACGAAAACGCCACTAAAGCATCATTTATTGTTGGTTTGCACATTGCAAAAGCTGAAAAACCTCATACCTTTTACCAAGAAACTGAATAAACCTTGCATAAAGGATGTAATACAATGTTGTTAGGTCCAGATATGACCAAGAAGATTGATAATGTGCAGATGTTAAACAGCACTATGAGCAAGAAAATTTTCACTATGTTAGACTTTGTAGAAAGAGAGCTTATAAATAGATTAAAAACTTGTGCGTTCGTCAGTTTACAGCTTGATGAAAGACCAACGTTGCTGGACTTGCTGTCTGCTTGTGTTTGTGAGGTTTTCATTCGGGATGAAAATAGAAGAACTCTTTATGTGTACAGAGCTTAAAAGTTATGCCACTAATAAAGATAATTTTAAAATTATCCACGAGTATATAAGAAAAAATGACATAGGGTGGAGTAAATCTGTGGAAATTTGCAGTGATGAAGCGGCTGCAATGGCTGGTAGAATTAGAGGGGCGGTGGTGGCAGAAAATGTTCTGTAAAAATAGTTCTGTAATGTTCAAATGTTCTGTAAAAACAAACTTGCCATGTGAAGAGCCGTTCCACTTTTGCTCAACACAGAGGTCCGGTAGCTATCAAGGGGAACAATTTTTGGAAGACTATTTAAAGTAAAAAATCCACTGATTATCACATTTGCAGAGAGATAATTAGAATATGATATTTGGATGCTAAAATTAAGATACTTTTCAGACTTCTTCGAAATAATAAATGAAACCACTACTTCGCTTCAAGGCAAAGGAGGAGCACAATTAAGTAAAATCAAAGCCTTGCCTTAAAAAAACTACATTTTTCAAAGCATCTATTGAAAAAAGAAATCTTACAAACTTCTCTAGATTACAGGAATCATAAAACTAACTTTTTTAATATTGTTATTGCTTATTTGCAGGGTTTGGACAAAAGTTGGACAAAAAAGATAGCAGTTTAACAATCAAATACGGTAAAAAAAGCCAAGAATAATTCTAGATGCCAGTATATTCAGAAAATAATGTTGTTGGCAAGGTTGCAGTAAAAAAACTTGTGTGTTTCACATCAACTTATCTCTTCTTTCTCTACGTATACTTACATTAAAAACAAATATTTTCAGGAAGTCTTTCCAGGCAATAATAAAGAAGATATGGCATGAGAGGCAAAGACAACTTCCTTTTTAATATCAATCTTCAATCTATTGTTCGTACATATTGCACGTACTATTGGCAAAAATTTTACTTGATTATGCAGTATGTCACACGTATCTTGTGAAACAAATTATCAGACAAAACAGTCATCGGAACAATAATGACATACGCTGCAAAAACACTTCCTGGCACATAGAAAACAAACATAATTCTAGAAGCAGGAGAAGCAGCAAGGATTAAAACTCCAAAAAATCGATAGTAAAACAGTATGGAACAGAGCTAGAAGTACAAACATGTGATGGAGATGCAAAGTGGAGAAGATCAAGGACTGATATAAATATAGCAGTTAAAAGGGCGAGACACGATTCTCCATGCTTACAAGGAAACAACTTATTTGAGGTACATTTAATAACAGACAGAGTCTTGTCTACATAAATATAAAAAAAGATCACATTTTAAAACTTACTTCCTTCGTGTTAACATTTGCTTTGCAAAGAAATATTCGATATATTTGACTTCCAAGATTATTAATTTATTTACCATACAAAAGATATTTTTGTTGCTAGTTTTTTTATTATTTCTAGATCTCTAGTGAAGCCTGGACACACATTTGTCAAAATATGGACGCAAACTTGGTAAGCTTAAAAAAATCCAGTATCCCATAATGAATCAAATTAAAACAGAAAAAAAATATATTTTTATATTTAAAACATAACAAAATAGAAAATTAACGCTCCAAAAATGTTTGTAAAAATTTAGTCTAAGACTCACTAATAAACCAAATAGAACCGTGAAAACCTAACGCTCCGAAAATAATGTAAAAATTTAGTCTTAAACTTACTAATAATCCCAATAGAACTATGATTGACTTACCTTGCTCACAAGCAGAGCTTTTCCGACCAGCAACACCAAAGCTTTAAAGGCTAAAGCCTTCAACAAACCAATCTTCATCACAGCTGCAGCCATCAGAGCGTTCATTCCACCATCCTTGTTCTTCTTTTTACGACCTTCTTCAATACCGGCAGTGTTGGGCTTCAAAGAAAGTCCGAGATTGAGGCTTCCATCTTTGTCAGATCCTCCGGCCAAAACAAGATCGGCTCCGTCTAACACCTAGATCATTAAAGGGCATTAATTATCTTTTAGAATAATTGTTGTAACTATGCTATATATTTCTGAAGTGTGAATAAATTGTCAAACTAAAAATATTAAGGAATTTGTAAGCAATAAAATCAAGATTTATGTTATTTATCAATTCTATCAATTCTAGCAATGTTTAAAAAGTATGTTTTTAAAGTTTTCAATATGATATATTACAAGTTTACAAACCAGAACGAATAATTTTGTGTTATGTGCCAAAGGTTGTATTATATCTAATAGGAACTAATAGGAACTTAAACAGTTTCCTACAGGGATAACCCATAATGCTAGAAATTGGTCTGGGCGTTTTATTGACTTTATCTATTTTTCTTCTTCTTGTTTATTCACTTTTTATCGACTGCCGTAAAAAGGCCTCCATTTTATAATTGTACTATCGTGTAATATATGAATCCGTCTACTTCCTGAACACATTTTGATGTCATCAAGCTATCTCTTTGCCTCATTGCCATTTCAGTTCTGCAATACATTCCCGCACATGTGAAACTTTTATGATTTGACGGATTTCTTTATTTGTTATTTCTAAGTAGTCTCTAAGATCAATACCGAACATTGTTCGTTCCATTGCTCTTTGCACAGACAGATTGCTCATTGTTTCTAAGCCATTGCAATGGAAACCGAGCCTATGGAATATCGATGACTTATCCTACCATTTAAGAGTAGCCTGTATTTCTTCTTCTGATATTTCTGGAATATATTTAGAATTTATGTATTTTTAAGACTTAAAAAATCTGATGGTTAGCCTGTATATTCGAGCATTGTGTTTATTATCTTATAATAGATAGTGCTTAATTGTCATACATTTATCAACCAACACTAAAACTCTTAACATGAAAGAACTGTTGCGACATTTGTAAAATTATATTTGAAAAGATGTAAAACGTCTCCACTGAACTGTGACTTTGTTGGGGAATGTTCAGCTTTTGGCTGAAGGATATTTGAAAAGAAATGAGACAATTTAATAAAAACTATTATAATTTTTTGTTTATTTTACAGGAAAAACAGTTTCTCATAAATCATGTTTTCATTAACGACAATAAACTGTTGTGTATAAGCTACATAAGTAGTAATTCAATCAAATTAAGTTAGTGCTAACCCAATCAAAGGAAGTATATATGAAAGAAATCCAACGTACAAAAGTAATAATTTGATACAGGTCTCGCTCTTGGCAAAATGCCGAACAAGGTGTATAGAAATCTTTTATTTCTTTTATTGGAAATTTCTTTGCCTTCATTCGTAATTTAACCCAGAACGTAATTTGTTTTTTTGTATTTCTCACAGCTTATATCGATGAACACATGGGGAATTGAACTAAAACGATACCTAGTTAAACATATCCGTTCCAGGGGAATTTTGATTAAAGGTTAAAAAAATACAAAAAGGGTATATATTTGAGCTGTATAATATACTCATGAGTTTGTTTCCATTTGTCTTGTAACACTTGAGATATGAGTAAAATAAATAGTCCGGCAACAGTTTCAACACAGTGGGCTTGGCAATACGAGACAGCGCAAACAAAAATGTGGTCGAAAAAAAAATTATAACACCACGAGATGAAACAAGAATTCGAGATAGGTACAGAAAACAACCTCGAATGATTTTAATAAAAATAATGCAGGAGTTTGGCATCAATAGTTCACCAATTACAGCTTTTCGGCGAATAAAGCAACTGGAGTTTTTAACCTATCGCCTTGCAAAAAAGCTGCTACCCACACCAGCCATAAACAAAAAAAAGCCTTAAATGGCTAAATATTAAAGAAAATAAACGATTGATACCTCATTTGATTACGTTCAAATTTTTCTATAATACCGCAGAAGCTGGTGCTGTTTTCTGAAACGTTGTGAAAAAATTTGTGTCCTTTTGACCAATACAAAGACAAGGTTATGTGGAGCGCCCTGAAAGCAGTCGAACTGAAACACGCCATCTAAGAATTGACAGCTGCCCAGGACAATAAAATTATCGAATGAGGTTTAAATTTTGGTGTAGGCCAAAGACAGTTCATACGTTTAGCAACAGCTATAATACGAAAGAATAAAATTCTCGTATTAGATGACGCAACTGCCATCGTAGATCCCCATTCTGATGGATTTATTTACACCACCATCCGAAATTAATTCAAAAACTTTATAGTGTTAAATGTTTTGGTTATGAATGCTAAAAAAAATGGACCATTGATGAGTGGAATCAGGAAAATAACATTATTTAACATTGTTTTTTTTATGTAGTTTACAATTGATCAATTTGTCAACGAATCTAAAATAAAAATATTATTCCAGGTTTCTGTTTGAACAAATCTACCATGCAGATACCCATTAGGTATTAGCTACCCATAGGGCAGAATTGGTGAGAAAAAGACCTGAGAAAAAATACAAAGCGGATTGTATGTTAAGAGGATTGTAAGGACATTTTAGAAGAGACTGTGTGGCAGGTGTGGTACTTGAGAGTACTGCAAACAAAAATGCTCTCTTAAGACCAGGAGTGGTTCCTGAATAAAAGATTCACGTTTATGCAAGAATCGGTGCCTTGTCATAAGGCAAAAACTGTTACGAAATTCTTTGATGACAACCAGATTAAGTTGGCTAAAGCAAGAAATTTCTAATGACATTAGAACCACAAATCATCAATTGATCGAGGGCTTTATAGCAGTATGGCACAGTAATGGAACAATTTAATAAAATTGCCAGAAATGTATAAAAAGTATGCTAATAAGGTGCTAGACAGTCACTGGTGCAAATGGTTACACGACCAAGTATTAAGCTTAACGCACAATTTTTAGTGTTTTCATGTAAATCCTTAAACAAATTTTTAAAACCAAATTCAGATTTCTGCTTTAATCTGTGCCTTCTAAGAATTGCAAGGTAAAACAGGCGTTGATAAAGTTGTAATTTAGAAATCTGTATTTGGTTTCGAAAATTAGTTTACAGATTTATTTATCAGATGTCGTTATTGCGTCCAGATTGAAGCCATTTTAGTGGTTTTTTATTATAACAGGAAAATTTGTTTTTACGTTCAGGGCGTTTGTGAAGAGCCGCTCCGAAGATCCCTTTTGGGGTAAAATGCATACACAAACGCACTATACGCGAAATCCAATCTTAACTGTCTTTCCTTTTGTTTTCATGTAATTACTCGTGTCTTTTTTAATATTTGTAAACTTAATAAGGTTTTATTTGTTTATCTTAAGTTTTTGCAGCCAACGTTAGAAACTGTGCACTGTTTTTGCATTCTAGAAAAAAAAATGTATATTACGTAGTTTCGTAGTACACATACCAATTTATGTATATTTTTAAGCAATTAGCTATAGAATGAAGTTGCAGTAACCAGTTATTTCTGTTGCAGTAACAAGTTTATTCTTGGTAGCCAAGATACAACCAGTTAATATTTTTAAAAACTTGATAAATGATAAATACTATAAACATTTGTTAAAAATTTTTTGTGCACGTTCACAAACTGTTTTACAACTAGTAAAATAATTAACTTGATTAACTTGAATAATATTATATTACCACACCACTTTCATGCTTTTGTTGTTAACCAAAGGGGCTGCAATAGCCATATAATTACATTTTCTGGATGAATTAGGTCAGAGCTTTCTTTGAAAGTCACTTCGCATCAATTTTAAGTAGACCACTCTCATGCAATCGCAATAAGTTTACAGTCGGTCAAAGTTGAGTCACGATCACAGCAAAGCAATAAATAATTAAAAAGATGAAAGGCCTTTTCAAACATGCTAGAAGCAAAAAAAAAAACGGAAATAAACGGTTTGTTGTTGAAGGCTAAGTAAGATTCTAAACAAGATAAATTGATGTAAGGAAATATTATAAATTTTGATAAATCAATTAGGAAAAGTATTTTTTGTAGATGTATAAATAGCAAGAAGTTTGATGTTTTAATTATAAATTAGTGGGTACAGTTTACATACCAATACATTAATAGATTAAAATAATTACAAATATAAATTAGTGTGATACAGAGGCTCTGTTTGCTTTTAACGTCCTCACGCAAAGACGACTAGATGTAAACCAGGATTTATATGTTTGCTTTATATATTATCAAAAGTACTGCGTCAGAAACACGTAAAACTGTTAAAACAAAAGAATGTTGATAGTCGAAATATACGGGTTATTGTCAATGTGTACTGGAATCAAAAAGCAAATGTTAGAATAGAAAATGTCGATACAGAAACAATAGAAATCAAAAGAGGTGTTAGGCAGGGTTGCATGTTGTCCCCATCGTTATTCAATCTGTACAGTGAAGCTATTTTTAAGGAAGCAATATCCGAGGAACAACAGGTATATCAATAAACGGAAAAATCTTAAACAACATTAGATTCGCAGATGACAATGTTTCTGCTGTTTTTGCAGACGGTCTAGAAGCATTGCAACACTTAGTAAATAGATTACATCAAGTTAGTATCAAATATGGACTACAAATGAACGTTAAGAAAACCATGTTAATGATTATTTCTAAGGAACATACAGTGGGAAGGCTAGATATCGAGGGAAAACAAGTAGAAAAAGTAAATACCTACTAATATCTGGTAACATGGGTAAATGAAAACAATGACCAAGGTGGAGAAATAAGGACACGCATTGAAATTGCAGGACAAGCATTTATAAAAATGAAAACAATGTTTGTCAATCGAGACGTTCCTTTGCATCAGAGGATAAGAGCCTTAAGATGCTACGTGTTCTCGACTTTGTTGTATAGAATCGAAAGCTGGACACTAAAAGCAGATAATATAAAGAAGTTGGAATCATTTGAGATGTGGTGCTATAGAAGGATTTTGAAAATACCATGGACCCAATGAGTTACAAATACAGAAGTGTAAAGAAGGCTACAAAAGGATTGCGAGGTCATAAAGCACATCAAAACAAGAAAGCTAAAATATTTAGGCCACATTATGAGATATTAAGGCTCATAATGCAAGGTAAAATCAGAGGTAAAAGATCCATAGGAAGACGAAGAATCTCCTGGCTGAGAAACCTAAGAGACTGGTATAGTTGTAGCTCAGTAGATCTTTTGGCAGCCGCCAATAAGTTACGGATAGCTGTGATGATAGCCAACCTCCGATAGGAGAAGGAATACAAGAAGAAGAAGGGTAAAGTTTAGAAATAACAGTAAGAAGCTTTGCAAATACTATGTTCGATTTCTTACATGTAATAATGACTGAGTGGTTCACGAAAGTACGTAAAAGGATAATATTAAGAAAACTCAGATATTAAGCTGTTTAAGATATATAAAACAATATCAATAGAAAGATTATAGAAGAAAAAGGAATTTGAGACCAACTAAATATAAAATAGTAAAATGTCAATCAGGTCAAGTAAATTGTGACAAAAAACAAAATCTGGCGATATTGACGTCAATATTAATATATGTTTTATATTCATTCAACTTACAAACACCGTTACCTTGCACAATAAAACTGATTGTTTCTGATTCAATTACTCTTTTACACAGCCACCAACTTTAAGCAACTGAGAGAAAAGAAAAGATTATCGAACGTAGCTTTACAGTAAATAAACTCAACGCTATGAGAAAGGCGTTGTATAATAGATTTGGTTTCTGTTTAACACAAGGTGGTGGTCTGGTTCAACATTTAGTTCGCCAAGAATTTTATTTGGTTTAGAATTTTAAATTGTTGTGTATTAATTTTAATTTAAGCAATAGTGTTGAAATTAATTATTAGAGAACTAATTTTATATTCACACCCACTTTTTTTTAAATTAGTTTAGCAAAAATATGGTTTTAAAGATATTATTTAGAAAATGTTAAACAATATCTTATGTTTAATTGTAATATTTCGCTATTTTAATCTTAATTTGCTGCATGTTCCGATGAAAAACCAGGTAATACTACATTATTACAAATAAACTTTAAAAAATCTAGTCACGCCTACAAAGCGGTATCTACAGCGGGACTGAAACAACGATTCCAAACTTCTGAAGCGTTTTTCTTGTGGCATCTTAATAAAACTTACGAATTTTATTGGGAATAAGCCACAATATGAGTTTAAAATAAGCAACAATTTTACTTTGAAATAATTATAATTATGACATTTTGATTTCAACTTAAATACCAAGTAATTCTCAAAATTTAACGTAACCCGCACCAGAGATGGGCTATTTTGTAAAAATATGTTGCTTTATAGTTCCCAAGGAGTTGTTCTGTGAGACACGTTTAATTCTCATTTAATTGACATACAGATTTGCTCCAGTTATATTTTCCTTACTGATGATTATTAGCTTGGTTTTGCTGGTACTTATATCCAGTCCATATGTTCTATATGTTTCCGTTATTTTGTTGAGAATGATTTACTTAAAACTGGGCATAGTCCTACCAGAACAAAAAACGTGGCCCTAGTTAAGACTCATGGCACATGTTTTACATGAAAAAACCATTGAGAGCGCGAGTTTGCATAAAAAAAATATTGAAACCGCGAAAATGTTGAAAAGTTTTCTTTTTATTTGTTACATGAATGTCGAAAACAAATAAAATTTTGCAAGAAAATTGTAAAAGCGAATATAAAACAGAAATTTAATTTTTAAATAGATAAAAACCCTAGAAAATTAATGCGATAAATTGAAAAATAAAAAAAGCAAGAAGTGTTAAATGTGAAAATTTATTTAAATATTGTTTTATTATTTTCCTAGTTCCTATAGTTTCCAACCACTTTCTGATTTCCCTTTGTAATTTCCAAACTTCTAAATTAAAAGATCCCGTTTTGGATGAGTGTCCCCCAATACCACAAGATAAGTTGTTTAATGTTGAATGACAATGATTGATGAGACACGAATTAGATAAATCATTTTGGACGATTTCCCGATCAGCACCAGTTCATTTTATGCGACAATTAATTTTGGCCGTCTTCGTCAATTAATATGTTCCTTTGTGTTCATGTTAATTGACACGCATCATCCTCATTATTAAGTCGTCGTCTTAGCTGAATAACTAACTACAAGTGAAAGGGGAGAACACTACGGAAGAATCTTTAGTATATGCGAAAAGGGTACTGTACAAGACAAATCTAAATAAAGAAGTGTTTTTAAGTCACAATACAATAAACAATGAATATACAATTGAAAATTACAATAAGTAATTTACAACTGATAAACAATTTAATCTTTTATTCAAAACTCCAAAACGCTACTATTTTCTACAATTATCTTTAGAAAATTTGTATTTAGTAAGCTACATATGTTTTATTACAAAGAAGTTGGTCATTGGCATCAAGCCTCCAGACATATATGTCAAAGAGGTTGCGCTGGTGACAATGATGCGACTCAGATGCTGATGTAAACCTTGATGTAGGAGTGGAACAATGAGAACTCGTTTCTGGCGAGGAGAGCTGGATACGCTACCCCTGCTATAGTGGGCTGCGACTTAATTGAACCAAAGTTTGTCTTTAACAACCCTTACCAAAACCGAAACAAGACAGTTCATAGGGAGGCAAACGTACCAAATGCGTATTGCATATACACCGATGGCTTTAAAATGGAAGAAGACTCAGGATACGGGATATATCCCAGATCACTCAACCTGATAATAAAGTGAGGTAAGGGTAAAAATGGCAGCGTAGTTAGACAGAACTAGCTGGTTTCTCCATACCCACAAAAGAGATAACCCAAAAAGGTATAGCCGGGAAAACTATAATAGTATCTATAACTTTATAGTAATCAGAATTAGTATTGAAGTGTCGCGATTCACTAAATCAAGTTTCGTATGGTAATGCCATCATCGGGTAAGGTGGGTTAAACGAGACAATGGGAATAAAGGCAACCGCATTGATGACCAATTGGCTAGGAAGACGGTAGCCTAAAACTCTTAGAACCTGGAGATCTTTTTGTTTAGTCAACTAAAACAATTGCGGAAATTGTCAAATGTCACTCTCGTTTGCAAACCATGAAAAAAAGGTAACAAGGGCAAGGATGTATACTTGCCAGGGACATATTAAGCAACCTTGATAAGTCAGCATCAAAGAAATACTTGAGAATGACCAGAAGGATACCTTCTTGATACCTTTGCTTGACAGTTGGTTTGTTAACTGGTCGTTGTCAACTAAACAAACACCACACACTGGGGCTAGTAGATAAACCTGCCCATATAAGGAAGATGACAGGATGGACTTCCTAGAAATGAGCTAAGGACGACAGATTCTTTGGAGGATGCACAATGGGTCACTTCTGGCCTAAGTGCTGTGGAACTTAACTCACCCTCCCCATTCTACAGATACAGATGTTTTATTAATGTCTTGGATATAGAGATTTGTTGTCAATATTAAAGTTGTGAGTTTTTATAACATTTTTATTTAGGAAAATTTATTAGGAAATAATATGTTTTATTATTTCTTCTTCTAAAACGTTAGTACTTACATGAAATAGGTTATAAATAAAGATTGGTAGGAGACAAAAACACTGGTGTATTTTCTTACTGATAGGAACACCACATGAAATATTTTTATATTTCAAAATTATATGTGAAATTATGCTTCACAATTGAAAAGTCCCAGAGCAGTTTTCAGAATGCATTATGTAGCAAAGATCTAAATTTTTATTATATATCTACCTACACTGCTGTTATGTATTCTTGGTCTTACTTTATGCTGTCAATTTTGGACTGTGACTAAAGTGATCTTAAATTCCTTGTGGCTTTTAAAATGCAGTACTGTAGAAGGATTATAAAGTTTCTTAGGTGGAGGAGATTCGAAACTCCGCAATAGTAGAACGTCTCAGCAAGACAACCAATATTATAAAAAGCATCAAGATAAAAAAGCTAGAGTATATTGGATATGTCATGGAGGACACTAAATAAAGGTTTCTACAAAAGATTATACAAGAAGAAAAGCTGGATAACGAGGTCCAGAACAAAGAAAGACTTGATGGTTGAAGAACTTGTGAGATTAGTGTAGCATTATTCTTCTTCTTAGGGTGCCTGTTCGTTCCAAACGTTGGCGATCATTCTGGTCATGATGACTTTGGTTAAGGTCTTTCTATTCCATGCATTCCATGCTCTTAGGTTAAAGCCAGGATATTCTTCTTTGCTATGGGCCCTTTGCCCTTTTTCCTTACATTTTAGCTTGCAAAATGCTTTGAATTAGCTCATATCTGACTTAAACATCCCACGACTTTTTAATTATAGTTCCCAAGCAATTATACTGTGAGACACGTTTAATACTTATTTGCTCCAGTTATGTTTTCCTTGCTGATGATTATTAGCTTGGTTTTGCTGGTGTTTATATCCAGTCCATATATTCTACTTGTTTCCGTGTACAAAAATGTGCTCCAAGTACAGATTGAATATCAGTAGTGAGATTATGCATCCCTGTCTCACTCTCCTTAATATCTATACAAGCATACTATTTGGGGTGGCAGTAAATAAGATTAAAATATCTATAATGATAAACAATGTTGTAAAACGATATGGTACATGAAGAAGACATATTATTTTAGTTAGAATAACAAGACTTTCTTCATGATCCATAAAAAATTAATGATAACAAAATTTTATTTTAAAAAAAACTCACCTTCCATTTCAGGGATCTTGTCTTAATAAAGTTAAAAGCTTTGTTCATCAATACTTCATACAACTGTTCTTCCTCTCCCATTTTCTCAACTTCGTTTAAACCTCTAGACGATTCTACGTTAACAGTTTCAGTGGACGTCTGTGTGATTTCAATATCACCTAGTTCAATATACGATTTCTTTAGTAGCCTGTTGAAATAGTTTACCAACTTCAGCATCATGCAGGAACTGATATCTTGATTGGAACATTTCACATTGAGTTTCTTGAAAAGTGATTCTTCAATTGTTGATTTTTCTGGATGAACCTGTAACAATATTATTCGATTAAAAAAAATAAATAAGTCGTCGAGAGATAAACATAAGAGTTATAACAGGATCAAAATCAAAATAGTCAAGACTATTTTCGCGACACAAATTAGTACATTCTTTACCTAAATTTCATATTGATTTAATCTTAATTTTTATGAGTTTTTTTTTATTTATATTTAAAACATTTTTAACTGTTTTGTCAGTTACTTCGATGGTCTTAATATTTTTACTAGTGATATATTAACTATATAACTACTGATGTAGTGTACATAAAATCGCAATCTCCACAGATAGTCCAACCTGCTGCATTAAATATCGATGTTAGTCTCGACAATTACGCTAATAAAATTAAATTAAATTCCAGTGACAATAGATAGTGTGAATAAAATGTCCCAAACACCATTATCAGTTGCAGAACTGCAAAATATTGCTAATAATTAATGAGATTTCGATTATGAAGAATCTCCTGCAGTAGGTGGCATTGAAAGTGATTCTAAAATTCAAGATCATCTTTAGGAAGCAAGTGAAGAGGATAATCAGCAAGTAATATTAAGTGATAATGAAGTAGAATATGTAGCTACAAGTTCCCGGATTTTAGACTGTGTAATTTTTTAAACTAAGGGTACAATTAACTGAAAGAGTCAACTACAACGGACAGGACCTATGCGATCCTGCGACCTAATAAAAATCAAAGTGCACAAAGTAATGTTAGCCCCTGGTTAAAGTGTAGATGATCCTGTTAATTCCTTTTGTTTGTTTGTGGATAAAAAATTTGTTAACAAAATAGTGAAGTATACAAAGAAGCCGAAAATATCCTGAAGATAGAAAACTGAAACTTTTGCGACTCTACAGAGCTATATGCCTTTACCCACTTTACTCCACATCTATAATGTAGGTATACATTGGAGTAAGTTTTATGAACCTGCTATGTTTAAAGCTACCAAAAATTTGCTATGATTTTGTATCCTCGTGTAAAACACGAGGTTTGAACGAAGAACGAACGATTAGCAGCAATACACGATGTGTAAAATCAAGTCAACCAAAACTTTCAGAAATACTATTTTCCAGTAAGAAACATAACGGTAGATAAGCAACTTGTTTCGTATCGATGTAGGTGTCCTTTCCAGAAATATATGAGACTATACAGCAAAGTAACTAGTCTATACAGGAAAGAAATGCAATTCTAACCTTATGAGAATTTCGCTTTGACGTTGCCAGTTTTATGCAGTGAGCGATGACATTCTCTCTTGTCTATCTTTCAAAATAAACGGATTAAACCAGGAGTCAGGAATAGTTACTTATCAACTTTTATCTTTTATTAGTAGCAGCAGTATAATTAAATGTGCATTAGATAAACATTTGTTTCAAAGTTTTTCAAATACTTTCTTCTAAGTTATTCACTAATTAAAAAGCAATTAGAGTAATTCTTGTACATAATATGTTGAAAAGCTTGATACATCCAAAGCCTTAATTACGAGTAGTGTTTATTTGTTCTTCGGAGCGCGTGATCATATTCGAGTTACGATTATTTGTACCATCTTAGATGTACTATTACTATTTTGTTATTGTTATTATTTGTTGGTGGCTGTTGTTGTGATTTGCTGTTGGCAATTATTGCTATTTTCTGTTGTTGGCTATTGTTATATTTTATGCCGAATTTTTACCGCAAAATGGAGAAAATTGGTCAATGAAAACGTGGAAAAGCTCTGAAACTTTCAGAGAAGCAGATACGAATGAATATTATTAATTATCATCTTAATCGGGATAACAACGATTCTGTATCGAGTGTAATTACGAAAGTGTCAGAAATGACTCTGTTTCGCATGCTACAGGACTATTCATTACCTTCTGGATTAAAATCTCCAAAGAGCAGACCCAAGATGCGAAAGGTTGGTAATTCTCGTGGTAACAAGTACGATGAAGGTGTCAGGGGGCAAATTCGTAGAAAAGTTCATCAATTTTTTCGTGACAACATACCATCAACAATAAACACCATATTAGCTGTTGTAAATGTCGAAGAAACTTTGCCCAACTTTTCACGGGCCACGTTACATCGCTTGCTGAGTCATATGAACTTTGTGTTTATAAAACATGGCAGAAATTCAATTTTGATTGAAAACCCAGAAATCATCTCGTGACGTCATCGATAGTTACGCGCAATTCGTAAATACCGTGCAGAAGGATACAGCATAGTGTATTTGGATGAATCATGTGTAAATATCGGGCACAGTGTGAAAAAAGAATGGGTTGCTGCTTCTGTTCGTGTTCTGACAACAGGATTAAAAGCTCCAACAGCCCGTTGGTTATGATGTTGTATATGATCTACCAGTGGATTTGTTGATGTAGCAGATTTCACGTTTTTGTCAAAAAAAAATACTTAAGACTAACAGGACAAAATGCCTGCTATCACAGTAGAAAGTCAGAACAAATTCCCAACAGTTCAACACTAAAAAAAGATATTCAAGAATGGCTTTTGTCAAAGGACCTATTTTTTAGGAAAACCACCTAAAATGCGAGTTACTTGATGTAGTCAAGGCCTTCAAAGCAAAATATGACAGATACATAATAGAATATATTTCCAAAAAGCACAATGTGAAGATTCTGAGGCTCCCACCCTATCACTGTGAACTCAATCCCATCAAATGGGTTTGGAGTGAAGTGAAACGGTATATAGCTGGACGCAACGAAAATTTTAAAAAGCTAAAATGCGAAATTTAATTATAGACAAATGAAAACAGAGAAATGGAAAACTAAACCACGTAATAGCAACAGAAAAAAAAATGTGGGAACTTGACAATTTGTTGCATGATATCGAACCAATTATTATAAATATAAATACCGGAGTTTTATTTTCGGATATTTCTACCCAGGCAGGGTCTTTAGTGGGCATTAGTACTTAAGTTACCCTTAACACAAAATATGGATAAGGCTAAGTAGTAAGAAGTGACGTTTATGTTAATACAAGTTTGCAAAGAAGTATAACATTCATAATGTGCATTTACCCTGTACAGACAAGTCACTTTGAAATAATCTATAGTAAAAATTTCTATTCAAAATAAAGGGAATTTTAGAGCAGTCAATTTTTATTTAAGTAAATATTTTGTTCTGTTTTAGTTTTTGAATACTTATTTAAAATAATATAAAAAGATAAAATGAGCTGGCAGTATTTATACAGAAAGCAAGATTCGTTTAATCGGTTAATTTATACCATCGGATAAGATACAATCTCCAGACAACGATAATGCTGTAGCCATAGTTCTACTTATTTAGTTTTAATAACCAACTTCTAACACAATAATAATGATCGTTGTTACTCGTAGGATGTGACGAAAGGAATTCGGAAACACAACTTAAGAAAAGTTTGTTAAGGTGTGGTTCTAAGTAGGTAACCATTACGAATAGCACTCAATACAATTCAATTTAATAACATCATTTCTATTTACCGCCTGATCCGATTAGTTCATTTTCACACGACTGTAATTGTGCTTGATAAAAGAGAAATTATAAATCAGATAACATGGGCATGTAGTATATGAGCTGTTAGCTCTGCCGACATGTGGTACTTCCCTATATTTTCAAACAGAATACTTTCTAAATAGATAATGATAGATAAACTATCTTGGCTGTGTACTACTGTTACTTTTACATTTATGTAAAAAGCAGAAGACGAAATTATAGACCTGACCAGAAATAGTAAAGATATCTTTAATTTCATTGGTCGGAGTAAATGTTTATAAGAAAACACTAACAAATATAATGACATATTATGTTAAAATAATGTACAGTATTCTTGTAAAACCAAAATTTAAATATTAAGTTACACATTATTCCCATTCTCTTTTAGATGATTTTTTATAAAAGCTTTTTTAATGTTTTTCTATCTTTCTCAGTGTTTTGTTTTTATTTTTCACTTGATTATATCTTCTGTTTCTATTCTCTGCATGTAAATAACTAATTGTCGATCAGTGTTGGCCTTTTCGATATCAAAGCGGGAGTCACCGTTAACGGAAAATTAATTAACCCTCCGTTAGTCGCTAGGAAAAACTGAGCATCAAGAGTCGCTACGGTGTCTGAGACCGACAATTAAAAAAGATTGTTTTTAATATAAAATTCATACAAATATTTTATATTGTTTATAGGAATAACTAAAAAATATTTTTGAAAATATTTTATTGAAAAAAAAAACAGATAAAAAATGAAAAACACTAGCATAACAATATATTGTGAATATTGTTCTGAAGCTATTTTCTTGTGGCATTTTAAAGTAATTACTGTTTAAATGGGAATAAGCCACAAATAAAGGTTAAAGTAAGTTTATTGATGTTTTCATTTTCACATCGGATATCGTTCTCAAAATACAAACATTAGTTTGTATTACGTAATATATAATTTTCTTATCTTGTTCTAACATTTTACGGTGGAATAGCCCTTTTTCATCTAGTAACGCTATATTTTCCAATAAACGCTAAGGTATTACTTCCACTTTCTTTTTTCTCATCTGTAACATCTTGTTCCGATTCATTTCCACCATCACCACCTCAATTTGATCTATTTCGCTTTCACTTTTTCATCGTCAAAATAATTTTCATCGTCGGTAGGAATCATGTCCATAATTCCAACAAGCGTTGGAATCAAAGTTGTTTGGCTTCAAAGGACATCTATGAATAAGAATTGACAAAAACTTACCGATAAAATGTAATAATAAGATGATAAATATTTACCTGTTCTGCAAGTTCTGCAATAAATAATAGCTACACCGTTAGTCGCTACGGACTCTGGCACCGAAAATAACTATAAAACTCACACAATTGTACCCAGGAATGTAAGAATGTACACTAACACGAGTTTGGTTGATAAGGAGAGGTACAGAAAGTGGCGATAGAAAAATAACAGTTATTTGTAAATCCCGAATGAATAGTTTTGTCGTCGGTGTGTGAGACCGATAGCGACTAACGGAGGGTTAATAATTTAAGATATGCAGACGACACTGTGATCA